GTCAGCGCGCCAGCCCCCCCCCCCCCCTCTCCGCTTCTTGCCCGTCTCTGTGTGTCTCACATGTATCATGTCTCACGTGGTGCAACAACAAAGCCAAGATACAGCCGCGAAACCAAAACAGACGACGGATATAAAATGTAGGAAGCGATGGGCCTTCCCTGGAATTAGCGCTTTAGCGGTCAGGTGTGGCGCTGTGCGCCAACAGTTAGGAATATCTGGGTCTGACCATAATCTGCACTCATCGGCTGGGGGGTCTTCTGTCGGGCGCCACAGCACCACGCCATGGGGCCAAGGAGGCAGAAAAGGCGAGCCGCCCATCCTTGCTGCACGATGGAGTAACAACAGCCACACAGGGAGGGGAGAGAGTGAGCGAGAGTAAGTCGGATAACCGACTGTGTACGTGTATGGTCAATCTTACTTGCTCCTCGGCTTCGCTGACGGCTATCGATGGTGGGTGTCTGGGCGTCGCGAGTACTGAGCGATGCCTGCAGGTCAGTGAGAACCAACACACCATGACTATCAGCATCACGTGCCATTCCTATTCCCTGAGCTTACGATGTCAGCTGAGGCTCCGATGCTGCACACACACGCACAGACAGAGAGAGAGAGAGAGAGAGACGAAGCACCATTCCACCACGACATCCTTATTCTTCGACCCCATCCCTCATCTGCCTGCCTACGGGCGTCCAGATGCACTCCCGTGTGAAGCCTGATGCCATGCTGCGGGGCAGCCGCGCCCATGTAGTCCTCCTCCTCGACTATGTCACCCACCGCCAGAGGCCGTCGGCGCTCATTGCTGTCGCCTTGCTGTCTCGCGATGGTCTCCGACTTGCGCTGCACACACGGAACAAACGGCATCCTCATGGCTAGCAGATACTGGACGGCAGGGGGGCGAGAGAGGCAGGCAGGCCAGCAATACAAGTGTACAGGCCCTCACCCTGTCGCCCCGCTGCTGGTGGCCCCACACCGCCCCCACCACCACTGCTGCCACAGCTGCTGTCGGACGCGGCCAGAGACTTCTTGTTAGTCAGCCGGGTGGGTGACTGTTGTCGAGCGGGCAGCGATGGGGGTGAATCCGGTGAGGAGGGGTGGTGCGATGAGGGGGCCCGGCACGACGATGACAGCGACAGCGATGGTGATGAACCTGACTTGACGGAAGGCGAGCAGGACGGCCTGATAGCTTCATGACGGCGGTGGCGTCGAGGAAGCGCCTGGCCGACTCACACGCCAGCACCTGCTGCTTCTGCTTTCTCAGCCACATCAGACAGGCGTCGCTGCGCTTGTTGAGAGCCTGGATGAAGACACAGAAACATGGATGTGTGTCGTCTCCGTCACTTCCTTGCTCGAGTATGGCGCGGACCTCTTCCGCTTTGAGCCGCTCCTGGGCATCGGGGTCCATCATGAGGAAGAAGAGGCCCTCCAGGTGCTTCTTGTCCTCCTCTGCATCTTGACGGCCAGCCAGGTGTGCCTCGATGCAGCCTCCTCTCCTCGTTATGGTCGCTGGCCCGCCCACCTACCGTTCCTGGGCTGGATCCGCCCGATGATGCGCTTGCCCCCCTGAAGCCGAAACGCATCCGGGTCGGGACGGCTGTCGTCCAACGCATCCGTGACCTTGTCCTTGAGCGCATCGGAGAAGTCCCACCCCTGCTCCGACATTTCTTCTTCTTCTTGGGCGTTGCCGTGCACTGCACGTAGTAGTCCCCCTCCTGCGCATCCTTGAAGGCGCCGATGGTGACCGTCATGGCATCAGCGCGCCAGAGGTGTGATGGGTGGGGGGCGAAGGTGGCCGGGACGTTCTCGGGCAGCCGATGGAAGGCGCTGCGGGAGTCGGATCCTTTGAGCATCAAGTGGCGCTTGCAGGCGGCGGAGGGGCTCTCGAGCGGTCCCGGCGAGGCTACTGCCGCTGCCGCTGCCGCTGCTGCTGCTGCAGGGGGGAAGACGTCACCCTGTGGCAGACCTGACACACCACACACACATCACACATCAACATGAATGAGTGTGGATACGGAGCTTCCGTGTACGTGTGGTCCTGTCGTCCGTCCGTACACGGATTCCTTGTCGTCGTCGTCGTCGTCGTCGTCCATCTTCCCGCCCCTCTGGTCGTCAGACACTGATGCATGCAATGCAAGCACAGCCAATCCCAGCCCACACACGGCGTCCAGTGTGCCCATGAATGTGTGTGACTTTCATGGATAGATTCGGTGACGATAGGGACGGCGCCGCTGCCGCCACTGCTGCTGCAGCCCCACTCGCCGATGCCCGTGGGCCAGCCCGGGCCCCATTGCCACACACACCAGCGCCCGCCCCCACGGGCACCACTCGTGCACTTTTGCCGACGCACCGGCGCCCTCCCCATCGTCTGCGTCACGCCGGCGGCTCTGTCTCGACTCGCGAACCCCCCTCCCTCGTACCAGCAGCGGCAGGTTGCCCACCAGCACCAGCCCCAGCCGATGAGCGCGCCTCGCTGGCCTCCTTCTTGTCCTCCTTCTTGACGGGTGGGTCTGGACGATTATTCTTCTGGTTGCTGTTGTCAGCCTGGCTGCCCCCACGGCTATGCTGGTTCTGGTTGAGTGAGGCAGCGTAAGTATCGACACAGACAGACAACACCAACACACAAGACTCGAGCAGATGTGTGTTTATGTATGTGTGTGTAAGCATGTATATGCTGTACTGGCGTCCTCGTCACTGTCATAGTTAGCCGATGCCGACTCGTGTGATAATCCGACTGCAAGCACATGGACGCAGCATGTGTGTATGCAGTATTGCTTTATTTCTGTTATCCGGACCTGCGACGAAGACATTGATGGGCCCCTCTTGCATTTGTTCGGGCTCCAGGTTGAAATCAAATCGTCGAACACCTTGGCTCGGAAAAAGGGTCCCCACGGCAATATGAAGCTTCGCTTCGCTGAATACAGGTCAATACACACACACACACACGCACACACACACACGCACACACACACACGCACAGACGGTATGGCCCTTTTGCTGCACAAGCCTCATACTCGAAAGGCTCATGCTCAAGCGCATACACGATGATGGACCTTTACGATCTCGATGTCACGGTCCGAAAAGCTCTTCCTCGTCCACCAGTCCATCACGATCTTTTCTTTGCATAGTTTGCTGAGGGTGGTGTCGCTGCTCACACACACCACGGGGCTGTCCTGTGCATATAAGGGCAGATCCATCCATCCATCCATATGATGTGTATGTGTGTGTGTGTGTGTAGCATTCGTGTATGCGCACGGATGTTATGCTTGTTGTAGCCGTTGTCCTCGTTGTTCTCCTCGTCCACTTCCAGCATGCTGCAGCAGTCGACGCTGGCGACAAAAAGGCCGGTGGCTCCTGCACGCATGAGCACCCAGGTAGGTACACAGACAGGGACTTGACGTGCCGCAGCGTGTGCATACGTGATGTCCTTGCTCACCGCCGGCAAACATGTCACAGCTGCGATCGGAGGACTTGGGACGACGTTGGCGATCGAGAAATGCCCGTGGGTCGGTGTACTGCTTAAGCCCCACACCTCTGCACACAACAGACACAGACACAGACATACATGTCGGTCGAGTGGGCACTCGCCGCCTCCGCCGCGCTCAACGCCAAGGAGAGATTTGTGATACCAAGGAGAGAACCTGCCAGTGGCCGTCAGGACTATGCTCCCAGTCGTCCTCATCGTCGTCCATCTACTACTCACGCGACTTGCCTTTTCCTGTCCGCACCCCTCGCCGCTGTGGCCTCCTGTTCTTCTTGTTGTTCTTTTGGTTGTTATTGTGGCCCCACTCTCGGCTGCCCAAGGGAACCGCAGAGTGGGGCTTTGCCATCCGCAGAGTGCCGGAGTCGTCCTCATACTCATCGAGACTTACCACAATGGGCCCGGGAGGCAGATGCCGCGTGTGTCCTCGGTCGACTTCTTTGGGGCTGGGTGGGGGGCATGTGGCTGGGGCTCTCGTTCTCTTCTGTTCTCTCGCAGATATAAGTCCTTCAGATATAAGATGGAGGCAGCGATCTGCAGACGGTGACACAGAAACACATACACACTCTGTGATGGCCTCTCCTCTCCGTCTATCGTCTGAGGTGCGTCCATCTTTTACATCCCTGACGGTGGCAATGGAGACATCGTCCGTCAAATATAAAATGAAGACAGCGATGACCATCTGCAGACAAGAGACGCCAGAGGTGTGTGTGACTTCGCCTCTCTGTCTGTCGGTCGGTCTGTCTGTCTGTCTGTTGTCTCTCACCTCCTCCAGCAGCCCTGTAACAGCATACTGTCACACGCACAGGTCATGCCCGCCCACTCCTGCCGCCCGCCTTTCTCCACTCCGCCGGCTGCTGTCATCTTTCCTCTCTGGCCGGAAGCTCTGCAACTCGCGCGGCCCAGCTGGCGACGCACATGCCGCCCACTCGCGGCAAACGCAGGCGACGGTCGGTCCACATAAGGCAGGGCGTCCACATAAAATGAAGGATCTGTGGTCAAAAGAGGCTGGAAGGCCAGGGGATGGTAGGGGATGGAAATTGCGAGGGAGACTTCTTTTCATCTTTTGCGAGGTTTGTCGCCGTCTCATCGCAAAATCTCGCCGCACACACATTTCGCTTTCCGGACAGCCGTCAGACCTTCGCAGTTGGAGGTCCTCCTCCTCGTTGATCATCCTGTATTCTCGGGGGCGTCTCCGTCTTTTTCCGCCATAGTAGATGACGGCAGACCAGAGATGAACGTGACGTCGGACGATGTGTAGTTGACGCCGGCTTTTCGCAGGGGGTATGAGTAAGCTCGCATTGTATTTGGCGAAACGATGACCAGTGTGTGTGTGGGCACGCACGCAGGTGTGTGATTCGGTTTGATGGCCCACTCGTCCTCTGCCGCATCGTCAGCAAATCCTTCCGAGGTCCCGCCCGGCTGCAAGGGGCTGGATGACGTCAAGATTGTCCCTGTTGAGGGTGTCAGTCCTGTCAGTCGACGGCTGTTGGAGGGCTGCATTCGGCGCACGTTCACGGAAGCCGCCCAAGTCACACAGCTGATCCGCCAAGGAGCCGACCCGAGAGCCACCGGCGGCCTCTGCCACCAGCGGTTTCCCGAAGGAGAGGTCCCATCGGGCTGTCGACAGAGATGCCTGTCTTTCGCCATCGACAGCCCAACAAACTACCCATTCCTCTCTGCTGCAGCTCGAAGATATGTGTAAAAATATGTCGCGCTGTGCAAGATATGCGTCGTCCTACCGCAGTGGTCCTCCCGTCAGCTGCAGCGTGACGTCATCAACGCACTCATCGACGGCGGGGCGGACATCAACGAGGACAGGCCCCTCCATGTGGCGATTCGTGCGCGCAGCCTGACGGCAGTCGAGGCCCTCCTGGCGCGTCAGGTCGACGTGCGGAGATTGGTGCCACTGGTGATGCAGCTTCCCTACATCGACGGTGCTGCCCCTCCCCCCACTCGTGAGTGTGAGGACATTCTCATGTCAATCTACCGTCGGCTAATCCAACACGACAGCACACTCGCAGCGGAGCGGTCTGCATTAGCCGAGAAGCATTCGATTGGGCGGGCTGGTGGACGCGGTCTGGTGCATTTGGCAGCCAGGCACCTTCCCTGCCTGTTCTCCCAGTCCTTCATCGACGCGTACCTCACCTTCATCACCAGCCACGGAGCCGACATGAAGGCAACAGACACCATGGGCTGCACGCCACTGCACGAGGCGGCACGGCATGGCTCCTACCGTGTGGCTCGTTGGCTGTGCCGCCAGCTCACAGCTGACGACGTCAACAGAGGGAAGCCCAACCAGCCCGATACACCACTCGCCGTCGCTGCCAATCAGTGTGATGATGCCATCGAACAGCAGGAGCTGCAGCCGCGCCACTATGCAGGCTCGGGGCTTTATGCGTCGGAGACCAGAAGAGAGATCCGCAGGTTGAAGACCACCATCGGTGTGCTGCTGCGGGGCGGGGCGGCCCCATCCATCGCCCGCATGCCCACCGCCACCGAGAGGCAGCGCCGTTCTCGCCGACTGATGTTGTTCGAGTACACCACAGTGCTGGCTGAGCTGTCCGAGGCCGTCATGTCAGCCATCAACGCCGCCCTCGCCCCCCAGCGTGACCACTCGATGCTCCTTACCCGTCTGCTGCCCCTCGCCCCCCACCACGACGGCGCCCACCCCCACCCCTCCCCATCCAACATGGCATTCGGCCCACACGAGGCAGAGGCCATCGCATGGAAGATCGGCGCCTTCCTGCACGAGCCCCCCGCTGCTGCAGCGGCTATCGACGAGTACCTCACCGGCGAGTCGCAGCTGAGGCGCCGTGTGAGTGCGGCCGTCGCCCACTTCGTCAAGTCGGCGGCCACACAGACGAGCACCAACAGGGAGGTGGTGGGCGGCATGGCTAGTGTGGGCGGCGTGATGGTGCGTGTGCCGCTGCAGTGCTTCGCCATCAGGGCCGACAGCCGCCCACACCAGGTGGTCCACACACGGGGCCGTGTGGGTGTGCGTGAGGTGGTGCACAGGGCCCGGCTGGACGAGCCGGGTCTGGTGGGTGTGGTCAAGGGCTTCAACGAGCATCTGGGCGATCAGGACTGCCGATTCTCGTGGCAGCAGCTGGGGCGAATCGACAAGACGACCGGCCTGTTTGTGTCACTGGACATCGACTGAGGGGCGGGGGAGATGGATGTTGGCGAGTAGGGAGTGCCCTCCCTTGTGAAGACAACGATGGATCGGTGATGAGGACAGGTGTATGGTGCGGGAGATGGGCCAATTTTGAATGCTCTTCTTTTTGTCGTGTTGCATGTCTGTGTGGACGCGATGATTCCTGACAAATGAATACGTTCTGCTGTCTGGTGGACAGTCTTTGTGTGAATGCATTCAGTACACACAAAGGCATCATAGGCATGCACTGCTACCGACACTTATCCATCCATCCATCTGTCCACAGAGGCACGCACATGTACACGCACACACACGTCCAAGGGAGACACCCACACCCACACACATACGATTCATGCAGTCGCTCAGGCATTCTCTCAGCTGGAGAGAGGAGCCAGAAGGGGAGCCAGATGCGGGGCACAGAGGGAGAGAGGAAGTGCCCCATCCCACAGTGTGCCAAAGGCTACCTGCTCCCTCCCTTCTGCTCTCTCAACCCAGCACTGATCGTATCCATCAGTTTCTCCTGGACCCGCTCGCTAAGCTGGCGTGCCATGAACCCCGGGCACCGCAGCCCCACGTGTGCCAGCAGGGCCTCGGGCACTGACAAGCCATCATCAATAGAGGTGTACAAAGAGGTGTATGGTGTGAGGACAGCAGACGGCGAGGGGTCCGAGCAGCGCCTAGCCAGGGATAACCCCCGGGGAAAAAGCGAAAGCAACCGAACAGATTTGTCGTAGCCACAGTTGCTGCCTTTCTTCCTCTCTTCCACAGCATAGAAGCCGACCTTGAGTAGTCGGCTCTGCACTTCCGTATTGCCCCCTAATCTATCGACAGTGAGATCGCCAGGGCAGTCCCGCAGGCCAATCTCGTCAAGTAGGGGGCACTTGGCGATGGCCTGGAGGCAGACAGACAGAATGTCGGCCCCCCCTCCCTGGCTGCCCCTTTCCTCCTCTCTCACTCTCGAAAACGCCCCACACCCACACACACAAACGAAGATCGAACGCACTCTCTGCCTGATGCAAGCCCCGCCCCCGCCCCCTCCCTCCCACAGCGACCAGCCACCCCTATGCATGCTCACACCACACGGACGAAAGACGGCGTTGATGTGAAGCAGAGGGCCGGTGGGGCTACACGCGATGAGCCAGCGGGGGAAAAAGAAACGCACAGGCGGCAAGTCGTCCCTCTGAAAGATCACCTGCCTAACTGAGCTGAATTTGGTGACCCGCCTAACTACCTCCTCTCTGACGTGCTCCTTCCTCGCCGCATGCAGTGCTGTGACCCGTGGGAACATGCGGGCAGACAGGCGCGACACAAAAGCGTCAGGAAGAGGCTCTGAGTCACGGTGCGAGTCAGGCCACAGCTTCACCATGGTCGCATTCGAAAACACGATCCGCGCCATTCGCTCTAACACCACATCCGGCACTGTCTCCCCATAGCCCAGCCCAGAGAGCAGCTCGACGCACGTGGCCGCCGATGCCACCGCGGCCAGGATGCGAGTGCCGTATGGGTGTTGTCGAAGGCGATCCAGTTGGGGGACGAGCTCGAAGGTGACTTCTCTCCCTTCCGGGTGCTTGCAGTCACTCCAGTCGAATGTGAGGTTGCCAGTGGGCACACACGTGGGCGGCACGTCCTCCAAATACTGCCACACACAATCAGTGCATGCGGTGCGTCAACTGTCTTGATTAAGGGGTGACGTCCTTTCCCGCTCTCATGACCCACCTGTATCAGTCTGTCGGTGAAGATCGGCAGGGGGCTCAGATTGAGCTCCCCAGCTGCAGTCAGATTGTAGGTGAGAATCCAGGTGAACGTCGGTCGTGGAAACACTCTCAGATTCAGCTCCTCCAGCTGCAATCCATCGAGGTGGCGTCCATGTACTTGAGGTGGCCCGAACCCCTCCACTCGCACCGACAGACGCCTGGAAGACCCACACACGGACAAGAAGGACACGGTGCATCCCCCCACCTATCAATGTGGTCTCTTGATCCATTCACTCATCGCATTCATCCTCACTTGATGAAGGGTTTGACGGCGTCCGACAGCGGCTGCGTGAGGTCATAAGCCTCGAGCGTCATCTTCGCCCTCGGGCGCTCCTTGGCGGTCTCAGTCACGCTCTCCTTGGCCTTCGGCAGCCAGTGGGGCAGCCAGCGGTTGTCGTCGAAGTCGGTCGCACTGAGGTCAATCTCTACCAGCGCCCTGACAGTCAGACGGCCACCACACACATACAACCATGTCAAGAACCCAGCCACCCACCCGCCCACTCATTACCTATGTGGCTTACCTAAATGCCCATCGCCTGAAGCCCGCGACGCAGACCCACCCCCCCGCCGCCTTGACGCGCGTCAGCTTGGGGAAGGTCATGGCCATCCGCGAGCGGCGCGGACCCATGAGCTGCCGGCGCCTCAGCCAGTCCTGCGGACTTTCGCAGGCTGATGGTCGGCAGCCGCACTCTGACCGACACCGACACCAGCACCCGCCCTGCAGCACCTCCAGCGTCTGACTGGCATTCTCGATCAGCTCCACGACGCCCGTTGTGGGCGCGCACCTGAGGGTGGCCCGCCTGACCTTGCTGAATGACGGCCACCATGCAGCCATCTGCCTGTTGGTGATGGTCTTGCGGAGGTCCCCTCGCGACAGATGGAGCGTGGTGTGCGTCTGCGGGGAACGGGAGATCTTGTGCATCTGCCGGTGGGCGGGGCCGAGGGCGGCGATGATCGGTTTGGTGCCCAGGAGGGGCGAGATGTGGGCAACGAACAGTGACTCGGGCAGAGCTAAGAGGGGCGGAATGACAACCGTCTGAACACACACACACAGAGGACCATTTCACGGTATGTGTGCATTGTCATGTTAGTTTGTGTATGTGGGTGTGGCGTACCGGCCTGTTCGGCGTCGAGCTGATCGGGTCGCCTTTGGGTGCACCATACGGTTCCAGATTGCCCCTCGCCGGCACAAACGCATCCAGACCAACAGAGAGGTCTGAAGGCTGGGCTAAAAGACGGAGGGGGACGGAGCGCATCAGATTCACCTCCTCCTCCTCCTGCTGCTGCTGCTGCAGCAGCAGCTGGATAATGGGTGACTTATTCTTGACAAGGGAACGTGCGCGAGGGATGATCGGGCGGGCAATCTTAATCGAATCGCGAGTCGTCAACGCACCACTGAACAGCCACAACAGAGACAATGATGTGCGGGGCCCGTCGAGTTGTCTGATTTTCCTCACCGGTCCTCTTGGTGTGTCAGCGCCATGCCGATGTGTCTCTGCCCGCCCTCACCCCCGCTGGCGTCACGCTGTAGCGGTGTGGGCGAGGGGGCGCCCCTGGGCGGCGGGGGCGGCTGGTGCCGCTCGCGAGCCGTGTAGGCGCCCGTGGCACCAGCCTCCATCTGCCGGCGCAGGCAGCGGACAGTCGGGGAGTGTATGAAGGGGTCTGCCGGGGAGTGGGGCGTGGAGCGGATTTGTTGGCTGGCACTGTTTGCGGCTGCGGGTGGTCGCTTGGCTTTGGGGATGGGCTCGCGTGGCGGGGTGAGGGCACCAGCTATGGGATGGGGCATTGCAGAGGGCGGATGTCCATCACACCCGACACCCTGACAAGACGTAAACCAAAGGAGTGTCATGGCAGTATTCACATTCGTCTTCTCTCCCATGTGTCTATTTACCTGTGGCAGTCTGTCAGCCAGTGGCGTGTTTCTCTGCCCATCCTCCTCCTCCTTACGCACCATTGGTCGCCCCCGCCCCGCGCCCATCCCGACACTGCCCCCACGCATCTGAGCACTCTCGCTCGACTCATCACCATCAACTCGAGTGCCCCTACCCTTCTAACATACCCGGCGGCCCACACTGCCCCCGGCTGCCCACGTGTGATGCAGTGGTGCCCGTGAAGGGATTGCCCCACCGGCTGCCGAAGATGCTGTCGGTGTCGGGCCAATGCTGACCACTCGGCCGGGCCTTGGCACTGCCGCTGACGCCCTTGCAAGACACACGCGACGTGGCCTTGGCCTTGGCCTTCTTGCCTGCCGCTGCCCCGACCTCCTGCCGCAGCTGCTGGTGTGTCTGTGTCTGGCTTCCGTCGCCTTGGGACGTGACGACCGAGTGGTTGGCCTCTGCAAGGTCCTCTGGCACAGGCAGCACCGGCGAGCGCACCACCCACCCCCAGCAGCTGGCGGCCGGCGGGCAGATCTGCCGTCGACGGGCGAGCCCCGGTGGCCACCGCTACGAAGCCTCTGACGCTACGTAGCCGCCCCGCCCTTGTGTGGCTTCACCCCACCCACCGACGTGCCCTTGGCAGCTATGGGGCTGGTGACGACGGGCTGCGTCAGTCGGCTGACGGGAGGGGTCTCCACAAGGTCGGGCCTCTTGTGTCCACGCAGCGCCTTGGCGTTCTCTCCCTCCTGACCCTTCTGCTGCTGGCATCCTCGCTCTAGCACTGCCGTCGGCGGTCTGGTTTCGTGCAGTGGATGCTGGTCGGCGTCATCGAGCCGTGGGGGCGGGAAGTTGGGCATCGGTGGCAGACACGGATTGTTGGCGGATGACGACACTGAAGGCGGCGCCGGCCTGTCGGGGAGAGGAAGTGTCTGCAGCCGGGTGCGATGGGTCTGCCGCTGCTGTGGGGCCAGGGGCGTGTGATCCATCTTGTCGGGCACCACAGGCTCACCTGATCCACCCACAAGGAAAGGACAGAGCCTGTGCGGTCACACCGTCTCCTTGATGGTGGGCGTACCTGTGTTGAGCGTGCGTGGCTGTGCCGACCGTGTGGGTGGCTCCATCTCTATGCCTATGTCAGCCTCCAGCTGCAGCCGGCGATGGCGGCCAGTCGCTGTGGCGCCTATCATGCGTCTCCCGGATGACTTGAGGGGGGCGTCACGGACGGTCTTGATCTGCTCCTCGGCCGCCGGCGACATGACCTGCTCCACATTCCTCTCCGACGTATCTGCGTCAACAGACATCGACAGACACATGAAGGCAGTGCATGGGAATCCATCGTTTCTCCCACACACATCCCTCCCAGCCCACCCTGGTGCAGCTTGCGTGATGTCATCGGCTGGTCATCCCACCTCTCCACTTGCCCACCCCCTCCCAGCATCCGCTTGCCCCTCTCGCCCCGCCGCACATTGGGCACGCCCTCCTCCTGGTCGCTGTCGTGCTTGTGGGGCGGTTGGTAGGGCTGCAGGGGTGCTGGTGTGGGGAGCGAGCTGTCGGGTGGCGGGGCGAGGTAGGTGTCGATGTCTACGTGGAGGTCGTGCCGCTCCGTCAGTCGATGCAGACGGATGGGGTTGCTCTGCAGCTCCAACGAACGCTGCCTCTCCTGCACACTCGCGGACACACACACGCGGAGAGATGGATCAACAGACGTGCTGCTGGTGGTGGGTTCGTGTGGTGGGCACTGTACCTTGGCGTGTTTGTGTTGTGTGCTGTCCTTGACTGCCTGGTCTCTCTGCGCCATGCGACTGGCCTCCATCTCACGAACCGCAGCCTCCATGGCCATCCGCTGAGCCCTCTCACCTCCTTCATCCACCTCCTGCCGCCAGATCTCCGTCGCACATCTGGCCGTGGTCTCGGCGCTGCGGCGGGCCTGCAGGTCTGACACTTCACGGGAGTGGCCCTCACGCACAGCCCGTACTGACGCCTCCTTCTCCTGTGTAAGACGCGTGGGGAGCGGTGGAGTGCATCCCGGGGGAGTCTTGGTGTTGGTGGCCTACCGTTGGGGTTTGTTTGGCAACCTTGTGCAGCGCCCCGTAGTGGACGGCTTCCTGACGGACGCGAGAAGAGGACGGATCCACGTATATCTGCCGTCAGCTCTTGCTCACCTTTTCATCCGACGATTGCATCACCACGGCCCTCTCCGCCGCATTGATGGGCGTCATGGCCATGGAGCTGCTGTTGCCATGCCGCTGGCCGCTCCCCTGCATCTGCTGATCCATCACGTTAGCCGTGTGATGAGCACGATGGCGGCCTCCATCCTCTCCACTGGCCATCGCCTCCAATGTGCAATCACATACCCACACCGATGAATCGCGACGCTTCGACTTCAGAGCAGAGCTTCCCCTCGGCGTCGGGAAGGCACATACACAGCTCCGAAACGACCGAACGAAGCGGGAACGCACTCGACAACTCAAGAGCTCGCAAGCGTCGATCGGCGGGAGGGAAGGAACAAAAGAGGCCGGTGGAGTGAGGCAGCTGGTGCAGAAGGCCTCAGCAGGTGAAGATCTGTCACCAAAGTGCGGCTCTGTCGTCGATCATGCGGTCAAGTGACGCTGTCGAAGGAGCGATTAGGTATGGCGGATGCACAAGGACAGACAGACAGGGGAGATGGGCTGAAAGGATTCATCCAATGACAATCATCGCTCTCTTCTTTCCCTACCTGTGTGTCGTCACAGACAGATCAGCTGCTCGAGTCGGAGATACTCATGAGTGCATGCCCTCTTGTCGACTCAAGATAGAGTTACCCCTTGAGGGACCTGCACGTCGTCACTCCCGCCTCGCACCAAAGCGGCCCATCACCGCGAGGGAACATCGCTGATGACGAACGAGGTGGTGGTGATGACGGAGATGATGATGGTGTGGGTGCGGGTGTCAAGCGGATCCGAGCGCGCACGTCTTATCATCTCGCTTCCTGGCGTCGTGCAGAGAGATCTGCAGGTTGTGGCGCCTTGATGTTACTGCTCTCGACTGTGTTTGCCTTGTTTATGGGGCTCGTTCGTGGCGGAATCTCGCGGCAGCTAAAGGCATCCATCGTCCTGCTGCGGCACACGGCAAGGGCACCAAGCACGGCCTTCATCACATCGACAGGAAACGACTCCGCAGCGTGGCCCTTCTCACGGCCTCCCTTATCTCTGACAGCTGCCGGTGTTCATGACGCGACCATGCTGGGAAGACTGCTTGGCGTCACCTATGCCGAGTCGCTTGGCGTGAGCCGAGATGCTGCTGATTGGGATCAAACGGATGAGTCGGCGAGGCTGTATGTCCGCAGCAGTGAGAGTGACCGGGCCAACGAGACTGCAGTTGCCATTGCGGCGGGCTGGTTCGGCCATGACGAGTGCGCCTTGGGAGGGGGAGAGGAGATGGGTGATCTGTGTCGGCACGTCCGCCGCTGTGTCCACACATACAACGGCACTGGGCATGACCCCCTGCTGCGGGGGTACAAGTCGAGGCGGGCCAAGCAACTGCTCAAAGACAAGAAGCGCAGCCCCGAATGGCAACACCTCGCACGGCAATTCGACCGCGAGATCCGCCTGGCCAATCGTGTGCTGGCCCTGGACGAGCATGAGGGGGACCTCTCTGTGGTGCGGAAGCTTCGTTCTGTGATTGGCGCCTACGAGTACCATTCCATCAAGCTGCCGGTGGCTATGTCTGAGGAAGAGCTGGCGGGTGTGCGGGAGGGGGCGAGGGCCTACCTGTCGCGTCTGTATGAGGGGGAGAAGCTCTCTTGGTTCGCCGCCGGCTCGCTGATGAAATACGTGTGCGACACCTTCACACACGTCCACAGCTCAGCAGAGGCGACCAGGTATACAGCATCGCATCCAGGAGGGCACGTGTGTGTGGGCACCTCCAGTGCTCTCTGGATCGTTTTGTCAGGTTCGGTTTGTTGGTTGGCCACGACTCAACCCTCCTGGCCCTGCAGAGCGCCCTCCTGATTGACAGCCCAGCCATTCGGCTCCCTCAGTTCGGCTCGATGGTGGAGGTGAGGCTCTACCAAGACACGACCTCGGCAAGTGACGGCGTGGAGTCGGTTTGTCTGGGGCCGGCGGGCGAGGGCTTCGATGGGGATATCGCCGGCCGCGGTGACTTGTCGATAGAGTGGGTCTTCGACGGACGTCTGATGGACGGCGGGCCGACTGGGGGCCGACTGACTGATCTGTGTTCGGTGGTGGACGCGAGATTGGAGAGATATGGAGACCCAGCCGCATGAGAGCTCCACGTACTGTCCGCTTCCTTCGTGCGGAGCCGGAGGGGTTTCCATTTTCGGCGCTGACTGCGGGTGCGACGGAGAGTGCGTATTCGGTGGCCGGTGAGTGCGTATTCGGTGGCCGGTGAGGTGATGGATGCCTTGAGCAAGATGCGCCAGGCCAGCTACCACACCCTGATCGGCACGGCCGTCCTCGTACTCACCGCCATCGCAATGCTCACATCCGGTGAGACACAGACAGACAGACACACCGAGAGTGAGACACACAATGTCTGTCTGTCTCTGTGCTGTGTTGTGTTGTGTCGTCAGGAGTTGTGTTCGGCTGGTTGACTTACAGTAAGTCTGCGGCCCGTGTGTGCGGCGTGCTGACGACTTCCATCGTGGCCATCGCTGGCGCGGCGTACGTGCTCATGTCGTTGGGCTACGGCGTGACGGCTGTCGGCGGGCGCGAGCTCTACTACGGCCGATATGCCGACTGGCTCGTCACCACACTGCTGCTGCTGGTACCACACTCACACTCACAGACACACAGGTGGGTGGACGTCTCTCTGTGTCTGTGTGCAGGTTGACATTCTGCTGTTCGCTGGCGTGTCGTGGAAGCCCATCGTCGCCCTCTGCACACTCGACGGTCAGTGAGCGATCCACCAAGACACACACACCCATCCCACGTCTCTCTCTGTTTGTGTGCGTGTGTGTGCAGTGCTGATGATTGGGACGGGGTTTTTGGCTGTGATTGTGTCGACGACCGCGGCCAAGTGGTCTCTGTACCTCTCGGGTGTGGCGTGTCTGCTGCCCATCGCCATGA